CCGCCGCGAACATGCGTTCGAACGCTTGACCAGTCAGAAGAGGCCAAGTAATAAGGCGAAGGGAAGGGAGTAATGCGGTGGCGGTCCGATGGGGGGGGGGGGCGTGGTCGCGAAATCTTTGAAATTCACTTACATGGGTTACAAAAATGTGCAAGTGACTTGTTTATTCTTGTAAATAATTGGAATAATTTTTGGAAGTTTTTAAAAATTCAAATTAGCATTGTAAATAGCAGACAGACTCCATTGAACCTCTATACCTGTGATGACTTCATATATGTCTAAACAAGCTCACTCCCTTTCCATGCCCAGAAAGGTTTTGCGGACTGGACTTGAACTGATTCAGTGGGGAGTTTGCCTTTTTGTTTTATTTTTTTTTGTTGTTGGTTGTTTGGTGTAATGCTTCGTTCTTCTGTTGTATGGGCGCGCCTTGTGCATATTAAATAAATAAATAAATAAGTAAAGAAAATTTTCCAGAGACGTGGCTGCTGCCACCCCCCTTTTTCTAGATTTTAGGGGTCCGCAAAAATTTTGAGAAGCACCCCAAAATATTTTTCAGAGTGCGTGAATGATGCCACGCATCTTCATTTAAAAAAGATTTTTGCCCCCCCCCCCTCCCGGACGGAAGTCCTGGAACCGCCACTGAAGCAATGGAATGGGAGGTCTAAACGGAAAAGAAACAGACCAAGTTCAAGGCATGAGGTTATCACGTCAAAAAACCTTTAAAATTATCAATAATGGTCATTTCACCACTATCTTGTCGTGTTTTCAGAAAATGGCAAAAAATAAATTTAATTCGCAAATGTGGCAAGAGAGAATATCTAGGTATTTAGTCCACTTTATCTAACATCTCAAACATTTCAACTGCTGAGTCTTATGATATCTTCTTGCTGTTCTCAACGACTAATTGAAAATCTTCGCAGTCTTCATGATAACCATTGGGGAAGAAGGGGAGGGGGGGGGGGGGGAGGGAAAGAGCTGTTTAAGTTGAGCTTAAGTAAGACCAAGTACTTCTGCAACTCTTGCAAGTAATAGGTCACGAGCTGCTAGACCACTCTAGTATGTTCTGAATACACTTAGAAACCGCTAATAACTATGTTATTTTCGTTTGTTTGGGGATGGGAAGATTTGAGGGATTACGAAGAAGGGTATGGTTGGATTGCTAGCTTCTACCGGATGTGCATACAACTTGGAGGAACTTTCGAGCAGTTGAAAAGGGCAGTTTTACTGCAGGAAACATTTGGGACACTGGAGCTGTTTGAGCTCATTGATTGACACTTGCAATTTATAACAAAACTGAGTTCACAAATCTAGCAAGAGAACGACTCCATCGAAAAACCATTTGATGGGAATCTTCATTTCTTTAAAATGAACCTGCCAAATACAGAAAAAGCCCTACTTTCCTTTGATCGAATTCTTTCATCATAGAAAAAAGAAGAAAAAGTCAAAAATGTCTTATACACTCACAAACCCCAGATCTCACAAAAGATGTTGCCTAGCAGCAGCTGTAAATTTGGTTCAAAATTTTCCCCTCCAGAATCTCAAATATATTCGAAGCAAGTAAGAGGTAGCCACTGCCAAATGCTACTGTCGAATGGATGCAGACTCGCATGAGCCAACTTAGGCCTCAAACAGACCTGAAAATGATAGCTGCTGTACAAAATAGAAACTGACAGTTGGGGCAGAAGTGAGTAATCCAAAGAGAAGACTACGGTCTATGGAAGTGAAGGGCAGTTGGTGCACCTTCCACAACGGTACAGGCGAAAATGAACGGGATTGCGAGAAGAGCACTCTTCCTCAGCGGAGACTATTTGTGATCTATTGCTTTTTTCAATGCATAGAAGGGGCATGAAAATAATAAATATCCATTTTTTCGGGTTCATTGAAAATATGGGAACTGGTATGAAACCATCGACTCTTATTATAAGCCAGAAAAAGCCGTAAATAGCTGGTTACTGATGTTTCTTGAGCAAGTATTTATATCTCCTCTACCATTTATATCGATCCCATTCGATGGTGCGTTCGTCAAGGTCATAAACACGTTTGAAGGTCACATTTCGTTTTGATTTTTTTTTCTGGACATGGAGATTTCAGAATTTCATAATTCATAGCTGCGGCCTGAATGCATCGAATCAGGAATTTATTGATAACGAACCCATGCTGCACTTGAGCTGAAAATATGCCGTAAAGCGTTTAAGTATTCGTCTTTGTCACGCCGGCAACAGTACACTTGGAAGCAAGATTCTTCTGCTTGAATTGTTATATCATTCTATGAGCAGCTATAAGAAGACCAATTGAAATTCGATATTTGGGCAAGAACGTATTGAATTCATACATTCAGTAGTTCTTCCATTGCAGATGAGCAATCTGCTCATTTCCGGCGCTCCAAGCTGAATAATTTGGATCCTGGTCTTAACTGAGACTATTGCGGATCGGCCATACTATTCCTGCTATTCCTACGACTCCTGCGATTCCTGCGATTCCTGTGATTCCCGCACAGTTTAGACGCCGCTTAAATGAGCGCGTGTTGCGTAAAACAACACGTAACACGCACATGCGCTCATTTAAAGGCAGTGTCCGGGCAGAAACTCGACTTCTAAAAAATCAACTTATCTGGGGTTATCCGCAACGCTGAATCCGAAAATCCACATCAGAAGGCGCGAAAACGGCGAGAACATGCATTTTCCAAGTCCTCACATTTCGAAATTTGGGGATCCCCGCCAGGCTAAGACGCAGAGGTTGCAAAGAGCGCACGGTTTTTAACTGTGGCGGCATATGTACTCTGCCGTCTGGCAGGAATTCAAACAACTCGGAGGACCCCGCCCCAAGGCGTAAGTTTCCCCAATTTGCAATCGTTTTTCTTGCTTTAGGTCGAACGTTTTATGCTCGTAGTTGCGCGATGTTGTGTCTCAGGGGGGCTACTTTCACATGGCAGAGAAATCTCAGAACCCCCATTTTGCCCGGACACTGCCTTTAAGCGGCGAAACTATGCGGGACTCACAAGAATCGCAGGAATCGCAGGAATCGTAGGATTAGCAGGAATAGTATGGCCGATCCCTCAGGATGGTCCGAATGTTCTGCCGCACCACTTTCAAAAAATCATAACTTCTTTCTGTCACAATGTTCTTGCTTGGCACTATTTGCACAAAAGGGTGAAGCGTGCGGACCACCTTGCTGAAGAGATAAAATAGCAAATGGAAATGTTGGCTTTGGTGACTGAGTCAAATCCTTTAAAAATTACATCATAGTAAGTTTGTAAGCTTCTCTTTCTAGGCGAGCAATGTGCTGATCGAGCCTTCCTAGAAAAGTAATGATTATTGAGTAACAATACAAAAAACAACAAAAACGAGAAAGATATGAAATTAATTCAAAGTTTACACAACTACAAGGTGCCGAAATTGAATTACACGATTTGGCATTTTTGCAACTGGCAATGTTTTGGCATTTTTCTCAAGAATCATGAATTTTCATAGAAAAGTCCGATCAGCACAAACTGTGCTCGATTAAGGAAAGGAGACCAGAAAACTTTGACATCGGGTATTGAATTCTATAGCACAGTTTCAGATTTCAACGGGCCTGCCTCGAACACTAAACCTCAAAAGATATCCTTTTTCAATTTTCATCTTTGCAATCAAGCTTAACAAGAGCTGTAATAGGAAAATATTACGATTTTTGAAGATAGTGCGACAGAAGTTTCGTTCCAACCTGCTAACTAGTAAGTTCACGTAGTGAATTTCGATATCTTGTATTTGCAAACTGCAAAGTAATTTCGTATTTTTCGACTGATCGCCACATCCGTCAGAATAAAGTTTCAAAGGGGATGTTGTTTGTAAAGAAGGTTTTTGGCCAATAATTTTCATTTTTGCAATGTTAAGTCAGTTCATAGCTGCATCCGACACCTCAGCCCCTCATTTTAGAAGCTAGAAAAGCTTTAATATCGCATAATTAGTGTCGAGATAATTAGGCGTTCAACCCCTCAAAATTGAAAAACTTAAACTTAAAAACAAAAAACAAAACAAAACTTAGTACCTATTCATCGCGAAATGTCAGTATTTCAAAAAGCGATGTTGCTGAGCGTTAATGAAATGATCGGTAAAAAATTTTCGTCGTTTTGTTTGCTAATCATCTGGACCGTAATAAAAATGTGGGAAAATTTTATGATCACGTAAACCATGGGTTGCAGACCTTGGTGGTGGTTTTCTGAGAGCTCTTTAGTTGAACTGCAATGAAAGCTTAGCCAAGTCTTTTGCTTACGTTCAAGTACCTTAATAGATTGGGCTTCAATTTTGATTTACAGTATAGAATCACAGCAGAAACTTTCAGCTTGCAGCGTCTTTGTGGACTGGCCGCATTCCAAAAAAATTCCAAGTAATCTGAAAGGTTGTGTACCAGGGTTTTCACAAGCGCTCATTTCATTATTCAACTTCTCACGAATTTGTATAGCTTTTTGAAAGGTGTAGTCACAATTCTAAGGATGTAAAGGCAGCTATTGCGATTTACTTGGCATAACTTATAAACGAAGGACTGCGGTAAAGTGCAGAGCCCATATTTAATGTCAGTGGCTTTGAATAGCCCAGTGTAGAAATTTTCGAGTTGTTTGGCCTGCTTTTTGAGGCGAGCTGGAACCCTCAATGGCCCAAAACCTTTCTTAGATCTCATATCGTATTTCTATAGCAATGAAGAACAACGGATGATTCGTTCCATACTGCAAATCTAATTTGAGCCTGCTCTATTGAATGGTACTTGCATCTGAGCAAAAGACTTTGATGTGAAGAGAGTTATCAACGATTAAAAAGTGTGTACTTACTTTTGGGACACCCTGTATTATGTTGCCTCAAAGGCGCATTGTGAGCACGCAATTTTGCGTCATTGAGGGCCAGAAGAATAAATGGGATGATTTTAAAACAAAGCAAGCTCTGTAAGAAGTAAACCAGTATCCGCAAAAACTTTGATGTGGGTGAAGTATGAAGCCAGTTTTCGACTCTGAAAGCTTGAAAAACCAAAGAACTGTATCTCCGTGCAAAGAAATTCTAGATAACTCCAACTTGCTCACGTAAGCGATCTCTACATCTGACCTTCATACACAGCGTCGCGACTTCTTATGGCTAAAAATGGACAAAACGAAATTTGATGCGTTTTTGCCAAAGCTGTCCTAGGCCTTTCCCAGATAGGCGATTCTATAACGTGGACCAAATATGACCATAAATTTTCAGTCTTCTACAAGATTTTTTTCCCGAGAACCAAATTTTGCAGAAAAAGCTGAAAAAAACAACGTATTTTGGTTTTTGCAGACCATTTTGTTTCTCTTATTCTAGCCACGGAAACATACAACTGTACACGTAAATGTCTCATGTAGAAAGTGCATACCTAAGCAAACTGGAAGTCCGCAGAATTTTATGAAGGAAAATGCGATTTTGAATTTAAAATTTCTTATATTTTTGTTTCAAATTTTAATGGAACAAATTTTGCGCAGTTGTCTGTATTCCATCTTAGAACTTATTTTGCCTATGAAATGGTACGTCTTTCACTTTTTCTTACATTCACCCAGCCGAAGTAGTATGCGATGCGACATTGTTTTCGGCACAACCTTCCTTAAGTATTCGCGCAGACTCCTAAAGGAGCCGTATGCCTCGAGGTTTCTGCTTTTTCTCCTTTGATCGTCTGCGCCTCCACTTAACGCTCGCTGCTTCGCTACCACCACGCGCTTTACAGGTCAGTGGCTCTGGTACCTTTTCTCCGTTGTTTCAAATCCACTTTCAGCAAATGGTAGAACGTCTTGTAGTCCTAATCAGGGCCCGGCACGAATCCGTTTCTAGGCTTTTTGAAAACGAAGTCCCTTTTGAGTTTCGGAAATTTTACGAAGTCCCCTTTGACCCTTGCCCTACCCCCCCCCCCCACCCTTCAACTGTGAGATCAACAATCTTCCTGGTCAAGCCGAGAAGCAAACAAAAGCATGTTGTAAAGGGTGTTTAAAAAATTGTGACGATGACGCGACCGCGCGCACACGCACGCCACTTATGGAAATGGTATTTTCTTGGTTTTCTCTAGTCGAATTGTTTTTTGCTCAAGTATGATAACGTTTAGATAAGTGGAAGTGACTGAGCTGAACGTTGAGGTAATGCCCTCTTGTATGAGCGTTTTATGCTTCTGCGGGCGCGTCCGCAGTAAAAACCGTCGTCACGATTTTATAAATGAACTATTTTAAACGTAAACGACTTTATCAATCCAAATCAAGATATTTCGAAGGAAAAGAACATCATTGAAGATGGGATTATTTCCGGAGATGGAACCGACCGCCCAACACAGTGTGTTCATGATAGTACGCAAATTTGATCGGTGTCTCTTAAACAAACAGCTTTTTTTTTTGAAAAACGATAACCTAACAGGAATGTACCCTTGCAAAACTTACTTGTACAGCTTTCTCCTCGGATGTTCTTTTGCACAGACGTGGCCTCGACAAGAAAATGAAGTTATAGGTGGAGATGGGGGCGTGAATGGATTCAGACGACACGACTCGGTTGTTAAGGCACACCAGTAATCCAAGCACACCTGAAACGAAAAATAAGATACTCAAACCATGCATTGAGATTCTATCAGATGCTACTGCCGTTCCATCATAATCACAAACCTCCACACGACAACTCAAAATTTAACATCATCAGTCGGTTCAAACTTCTAAAGGAGACAAGAGCCAAAATTTGCCGTATCCCCAAAAGCACCCGAAATTTGCACAGTCCCTCTGATAAGTATGGCGACGCTATGATCAGACTATGTAAAAAGATGGAAATGACATAGCGCACATGATAGACAAAGAGAAAAGATGACTAACCTTGAAGATTTCCACGTCTTCGACTTGACGATTGGAAGAAGTAGTTCTATGGCGTACTTGTGATATCCGTAACTTGAGGACAAGCTGGATTACAGTTCTGCAAGATAGTGGATCTTTGGAACAAGGCGCGAAAATGAACTTGTGATGAAAGAAACTTGTGACCAAAGCAGCATCATCGTAAGCACGCCAACCACCGTGATTAATACAAGTATGACAGCACGACCAAGATAGGAAAAGTATAAACAAACAAAAAACAAAAGGCAGACGTGGGTTTGGTAAAATCCGTGTTACTGTGACTAAGCCACATGATGTTTTCCGCCAGACTTAGAAGGTGTACAAGCAAAAGAGCAAGGGATTGTAAAAGGGACTGGTCTGTAGATTTCTGTCCAACTTTATAAAGCAAAGTTGTTTTAAGTTAAGTTAGTTTTATAAGTTGTTTTTGTGAGCCACTAAAGGAAAAAGAAACTCTTTTGAAAACCACATACCTCAGCAAGCGCAGACCTTCAAAAATGCAACGAGAATCGCGCCAGGCATGAAATAAATTTCTGATCTTGATCAGACCCCTTTTGGCAAGCTGAGCAAGGTCTGCCTTTTCAACAAGCATGCTTCCAATCTAAATAAAACGCTTTTACCGGCTGCTCACTCCAAAATGAAATTTCACCTCCGGTAGCACAGAACATGATACCAAACATTGCCAATTTGAGTATCCTACTTTAGTGAGCGAAACGTCAATATGAATTTTTCGACTAAAAGAGTGAGCCAATCCCGGCGGCATCCCGGCATCTCACAGCATAAGAACTGAAACTGATATGGTCGCTTGCGGTTGATGACCTTGTATATCGTAGTTTATGCTTTCAACTAACCATCGGTTTCGATTGTCAGACTTGAGTAATCATTTGATTGCCAGCAAAAAACTGTGTTATTTCGTGTTTCTAGCTGCAGAAATACCAGGTGGATAAACTGATTCGATGACAAGAGCAGCACTGATAAGGAAAGCTACCTAACTTAGCTCGGCCTGCCGGCAAGGGACATATATATTCCGAATCAGCTCTGAACGCTGATTCCAAATATGCTATTCCTATGCGGTGCACATTCCGAAGCGAGTTATGGGCTTTTTAATGCGCGGAATTGGCATACTACTGAAATGGAAAGACTGCATGTAGGTAAAAATCTGTAAAAAGTTTCTGAGATATCGAAATATCATCAAATTCAATCTTTACTCACCGGAAAAAAGCTTAACGCAATAGTACTAGCACTCAGCTGATAATGCCGTGGTAAATCTTTTTGAAAGATCGAGCTAAGCTAAGTATCTTCCCTTATAAGTTCCAAAAGCGACAATTCAGCATGTAGGAAAAACAAGCTTTAGGGATATATGAATAGGGTGAGCAAAATGTGTCAGAAACATATAAGAATAGCGAGATTACTCTAGCCTGTTCTTGGCTTACGACAGCACCAATAATCATCGCAAAACAAGAAAAATAATAGATGTAAACAACTGTGGTCAAACTCACTTTCGTGGGCAAATTAGGACGGAGGACACTGTGGTTGATGAGTTGACTCTTATAAACTGACTCTTTCGTTGCGTCCACCATATCATCTTTTACTTTTGTATCTGAAGAAGTACATGTAAGAACCAATGGTTGGATCTTCTGCATATTCTTCTTCGCGAAGCTTCGCTGAGTTGTAGTCCATCATATCTCCTGCAAAAGCTCGACTAAAGAGTGGGTCTCGTAGACGACAATACATGCAGCGAATTGAAGCTAGAATTACAAACCTTTGTACTCAATAACAAATTCATTTTTCACAAATGATTTGGCAGCTCGAATGCCACGTCCTTTCCTTTCTTTATACAGACTTCAAGGAGCGGCTCATTGGTCAAATTGTGTGTGGCATCGCGCAAAGTATACTTCTCTTTTTCCTAAATGTTTTACCTGGGCAAACCATGATGTTGATGATTTTTAATAGCTAATGAGCAAATTATCCTTCGCCAACCTCCAACTGTTGGCTGTTTTTCGGGAAATTCGGAGAACAGGGAAGAAGTCCGTGATCTTGTGATTCGAGACATTTTGCACAGCTTTCCTTCTAAACGTGATAGAGATTAGTATTTAGCAAGTTGTTGTGCGTTTCGAGAAAGATGCTATACATGCTAGAATTTTAGCAAAATCACAGATCCCCGCCAAACTTCTTAGAAATTTTGTGCAAATACCCTAACAGCTGCATTATTGTATCATACCCTCCGAATTTACATGTCTACAGTATAGGTCAAGGAATAAGGTACAAGTTGAAAAAGGTGTACGATCTTTGAGTAGGAAGATCACACCATACATATTGCGGGCAACTATGGACGTAATCTAGTTGGAACAAGCCAAAAATACACATAGCCAAAAGGCAAGTCGGTCAACTGTTCTTTTGGTGCATGTAATGAGGTCAAAGAGGACCGCTCTACACAATTACCCTTTTAATCTATTTTGTTAGCCATATTCTGCACTTCAACAAGCACTCCTAGCCAACGCCTTACAAAATAACCAGGATATATAATAAAAATGTGCTAAATAAAGGAATCCAACAGAACTATAAACATAACAAAATGTAACCAACGGGCTATTCCTCCGAGTCTGTACAACAGCTGTTTTTGCATCGATGACCTTCTGCGACTGTATTTCTTTCGCCATGGGTTTTTTACTCTCATGCGTTTCCCTCAGAGAAACAAGCGAATTCCTCTTCTTTCGACGACATCCTGAGCAATAATCTTCCCGAGCATCCCTTCCTAGAAACATGACCACTTGTCGAGCATGAGACTGTGAATTAAAACTAATCGAGAATATTTACGAAGGCATCAAAGCGTTATAGATTTAAAAAACAAGAAGCTTGTACTAGCAGGAAGAACAAGAACAGGGAACGACAAGAACAAACGAAGGAAACACTCAATGTTGGTGGCAAAGCGACCAAGCGATCAAAATTTTGATCAGAGCTGGAATGTGGCAATAGCGCGGGAAACGGCGGTGGAGCGCGATATCTAATATGGCGATTTTCGAAAAAAAATGATAAAAAACGACGGATAGGGGGTGATATGAAAAGTTTCTATGCACAGGGATAGATTTTTGACCGGGGCATCCGTCCATGCTAAAAAGATCCAAAACTTATGTGAAGCGACGAAAATATATGCTCCAGACGATCTCAGATCGTCTGGTGGCCGTCTGGAGACGATCTAAATTTGGAAAAGGTATTACTTCACATAAGTTTTCAAATCTTTTTACATAATTCTTCCGAAAATAATTTTCTATAGATACAGTTCAATTTTCGTGTCATACGACTCTGTGTCCGCTGTAAACAAGCGATTTGTTTATTTTAGCCTTGCTTTCAAATCGCGCGCACTTTCCGCCATACACGATAGAGCATGTCAATCGTGTGATAACCTGTCCGAAAACCTTGTGTTCGCCTGGATGGTCGTTTATCGTTGACATAGAGGAGAAAGTGAAGGAATTATCATACCTAACTCATAATAGCTGGCTAAGGGTCCTTACGTTTTTTGTGTTGTATCTGTCTGTCTGTCTGAAACAAATTTGCAAATTGCAATTTGAGGACTTGAGACTATGGTCTATCCTGGATCCCAGCCTTAGGGTAGATTTCCTCTTGGAGTACTCCTTAATGCTTTCAAATGAGGATTTTTAGGTGTTGGAGTTTGATAGTGGAGAGTTAGCGATGATCACTGCTTGGAAGTACATCTACAGAAGTGCCTTGGAGATCTGGAAGACCATGGGTTTAGTGACTTAGAGGTAATTTCTTGGTCATTTTCATTGCTCCTGCTTGTTGCATGCACTTTTTGATGCTTTTGTCACTACTCACGTTTTTCGTCGGGTTTTCCTTGTGTAATGTGTGTTCGAGTCTGTTTAGGTTCCAAAGCCAATTGCACCATTCTTAGAAACGGCTGTGTCAGATCCTCAAATGACAAGCGTCCAGATCCAGGAGCAAATTACCGTAAAACCTACTAGTTTTTCTAAAAATTTGAGTTGATCTCTCGATCACTTAAGCACCATAATCATGTTTCTCTCAAATTCTTGTTTAGGAATGCCATCTCAGGAGCGACTCTCTCTATGTTCCTTCGAAGGCTGCTCCGCTACCACATGAGAAGTCTATAAGAGGAGGGCATGTAGATGATATGACTTTGACAGAATTCAAGTGAGACGTTCCAGTATCGTATCTTTGTGTACTGCTCACTCATACCTTTTCCAGTGTTGGCTGTTTGCGAAGAGAGTCTGCCCTCTTATCGAGGATTTTGGTGGTACAGAAAGAGCACAGAAAAAATCGCTGAACTTGTTGAGAGGGTCACTGATAAAAAAAACCTAAAAATCTTGAAAAGATTTTGAAATTTTCCAGGTTTGGTCTTTTGGTCCAGGCAGAGGCAAAGTTAACATTACCATTCTTAACTATCATAGAAAGCCTATATGACAGCAGTGAGCGACTTGCTAACAGTTTCTACCCTTCTTAAGCTTTACAGTATCCGAGCAGATTTGCACACAATATCTCTTTAGTGAACATGTGCAGAAAAATTTTTCCGGGGCTCCGCCCCGGACCCCGCAAAAACGATATCCCCTTTGCTTTTTGCTCCAAAAACGAAGTCCAGCCTGCTTCTAGACGATCTGTGCCGGGCCCTGGTCCTAATCTCTACTGTCACGCTGACAACCGCTGAACTTCTTTTCTTGTTTGGAGAATTTGGCAGCAACAGTATCTCTGAGATTCTCGTGCTTTCTATTCAGTTCGATCTTTGTGTGCATTCAATAGATCTTGCTTTTGTCTTCAACGTAGACAACATCGCCGAGCCTACTTTTTGAATGATAATAACGCGTTTCTTCATAGTGCTTTTCTGGATTGAATTCGAAATTATTCTTACCAAAACTGGGAGATTCTCGCAAAGTATGAGCAGAACAGCAATGTCGCTGAAAGAAAAAAACAGGACAGGGTCCAAGGAGCATCCAAAATCAGATTGGTATGAAAAAAATAATATATGTAAATTAACCTTTCAAGGCAGCGTCCCACCAGATTAAGGGGTGGGGGCCTGGCTCTGGTATTAACGTGATAGTCGACCCCCTAACTAAGCAGACGACAGAAGTTTGCACGCGAAAGGAGGTCTACGAATTCTACAAATCGCCCCTCAAGTGGCCCGAATCTTACGGTAGGTCCGAACACCGCCCACAGATCAATTTCTAACTGCAAGGCCAGAGCACGCATAGCGCACACAGTCATGAGCGCAGGGTCCCGAAACGACTCTGCGTCTCTACCTTGCACGCATCTCGCACTCGCCCGAGCCTACCCTAATATTCGGGCCACTTGGAAGGCGATTTGTAGACTTCGTAGACCCCCTTTCGCACTACAAACTTCTGTCGTCGCTTAGATAGGGGATCTGCTATTACATTAATATCAGAGCCAGGTACCTCCAATCTGGTGGGACGCTGCCTTTAAAAGAAGTTTTCTGTCATGAAATTTGCAATGCAATTTTCAACAAAAATTTATTTGATCGCTCATAATCTTCAACTCTATTGTGCCGTACAAGTTCGTTATGGTGAGCAGATTTATTGATATTGGCCTAACGTTTCAACGCTTTCATCGTCCTCAGAGGTCTGAAAACGACTCAAGGCATCATCCTAATACCAGACCACCAGATATCTTCTCTTTAGCCAGTTTCGATTTCATTCCAACTTTGCGTCGCAAAAATCCTCAAAACAAATACACTCACCCTTGCACCACCGCTAATCGAAATGTCCGCCGTTGTCTGTTTGTACGAATAGCGGTGGTGCAAGGTTGAATATATAAGTCTTGAGATTTCTGCGATGCGAAGTTGGAATGAAATCGAAACTGGGTGAGTTGGGGAAGATAGCTGGTGGTCCGGTATTAGGATGATGCCTTAAGTCGTTTTCAGGCCTCTGAGGACGACGAAAGCCTACAACCTGAACGGCACAATAGGGTTGAAAATTATAAGCAATGCCCAGGTCTGAAGAGAATGTAACGCGGAAATTATTTCTTTAATCGTTTTAACAGTCGCCACATAATCAGTTTCAAACAAATAGAAAAAATTCGGATATATCAGCGAGAAACTTCGAACTAGCGAAAATGTTCGCTTGGTTTAAAACTGGTGTATAAATTGCATATTACAACAGTTTGATTTCGCCTTCAGCAATAGGAACTGTACGAGATGCATTCTCAGATACATTTGTTCGAAAGTTCGTAGATACACAAATGTTCAGAGGCGGATTCTTGCTTCAAACGTTTACGACTTGTTGCGTTAAACAATGGAGTAATAACAGCTTTATTTTCAGTATTACGAGAGACAAAGTCAACCCCCTCTAGTCAAAGACGTGGCACATCACACAAAAACAGTCATCTCCCAAAGACCTTTAATAACATGAATGATTTCTCTATAGCGAAGCAAAACTGGAAGCACTGCCAATATAGTAGTCCTTAAAATTGCGACACAACTAACCCATAGATACCAAGCAGTGGCGGCCCTCCGTTCCCCCCCCCCCCCTTCCCCGAGAATGGGTCGCGAAATTTTCGGAAGTTACTCAAATGTGTTATGCAAAGTCAAGCGACTTTCTTTACTTGTAAATAATTGAAATAATTTTCAAAAATTTTTAGAAGTTCAAATTAGCCTTGTAAAGCAGCCACGCCCTTTTCTTTTTGAAATTTCAGGGTCAGGGGCCAGTAAAAATTTTAAGAAGCATCCCAAGAGAATTTTCGGAGTGCGTGGCTGACGCCACTACCTTCATTAGGTAAAAAATTGTTGCTCCCCCCCCCCCTCCTCCCCCCCCCCCCTCCCCCGAGCGGAAATCCTGGGTACGCCACCACTGATACCAAGGTAATGATACTCAGGTCCTTATCAAACCACTAGCAAGAAACACAGACATAATAGTATTCCTTAGTGCATGGAACATCGTCCCAGCCGTTTGAATTGACCTGAAATCAAGGTATTCGAAATCAGCATGCTCGCTTACCTCCTGTGCTTCCAGCCGTAGCTCAAACTTCGCAAAATTGATAAAACCGACAAAAGTAACCGATAATTTCAAAAACTGATGTTGTATTCGTGATTAGCATGCTCGATTACCCCTGTTCCAACTCCCAGCCTCGCAGCTCAAACTTTGCAAAAAATCGATAAAAGCGACATATAATGTGAATAATGCTGTATTCGTAGTCAGCATGCTGGATTCCCCCTCCCCCACTCCCCCCACCCCCTTCTGCGCCTACTCCCAGCCCCGCATCCAGAACTGTGTAAAAAATTCGATAGAAATCTATAAAATCGATATTGATAAGTAACGAAAAGTAGCATACGATGCCTGCACCGCCCCGAATGTATGTGTGCCAAGTTTGATCCGGATCGGTTAAGAAATGGAATTTTCTATTCGAAACATACGCACAAAGACAGACAGATACACAGACACCTCATTCTCCTTATGACAACTACAAAAGACATAAGAGTGTAAACTGAGACTGAACAAATTTTGCGCTTTCTCTTTTGCAAAAAGTTTCTTCCAAGCGAAGATACCGATCACAAAAAGATTTCGGAATGAGTAATCGTTTATAATTTTTCGTGATGCGGTCAGCGTTGTGCGGAAGTTCCAGAGCGATCACTGTCGTAGATTATCCAAAAGTTCTAAACCTTTAGCATGTAGATCTACCGTGTTTGTTCTAAAAATGTTACTGTTCACTGACCACTTAAGCCGCCAGGTTACCCCTCTACTGTGCTTGATAGTCTACTTGGCGGCGCCTACTTTCGTGTAGGCAATCCTTTATGCTGCATGATACTGTTGTTTACCAAAAATGAGCGTTTAGGTTATCCACGCCCAAATTAATGGCATAAAAGGGCTTGCATACTCAGCTCTGGTGTTGGTTCGATTATCACCACTATCGTCAGCGGCGTTCCGCAGATACCCTGTTGATAGTCAGCGGCTGCTCCGCTACTATCGAATGAACAGTTAATAACGTAGTAGTACCAGCTTGGTGTATACCAAAATCACTATGCGAGAATAAGAAAGACATACACATGTAGAACCAGTGCAAGCCTTACGAAGCTGAGGTGACGCAGTGGTCCTACTATAAACCACAGTGTCGACTGACTTGAATGGACTATGTATACCAATTTCTTAAAGTCTAATTCCATTTTCATCAAACTTTGCAGCCAAGCTAAATTTCAATTTCCGCAGAGCAAGATTATCGAGGCTAAACGCTAGGTAGATAATAATCAAAATATAACCAACTAGCTGGCTTACCCGGCTCCGCCGTATCCGGACCAAACTTGGCACACATACACTTCGGGCCCCGGCGGGTGTCACAGTCCACTTTTCGTTATCGATCGATGTCGATTTTACCGATTTTTATCGATTTTTTCGCAGAGTTCACCTACAGGGCTAGGAGTTGGCACAGGGGGGAAGTGAGCATGGGGATTCCGAATACAATATTAGTTTTCAGAATTATCGGTTACTTTTATTGATTTTATCGATTTTTTGTAAATTTTGACATGCGAGGCTGGGATTTTGCACAGGGGGGTAATCGAGCATGCTGATTACGAACACAATATTAGTTTTCAGGATCGTCCATTACTTTTATCGATTTTATCGATTTTTTTTGTAAAGTTTGACCTGCGGGGCTGGGAGTTTGCACAGGGAAGTAATCGAGCATGCAGATTACGAATACAATATTAGTTTTTGGAATTATCCATTACTTCTATCGATTTTATCGATTTTGCAAAATTTGAGCTAGGGGGCTGGAATTTGGCACAGGGGTGTAATCGAGCATGCTGATCACCCCCCTTGGGGATGATCAGCATGCTCGATTACCCCCCTGTGCCAACTCCCAGCCCCCTAGCTCAAACTTTGCAAAAAAATCGATAAAATCGATAAAAGTAATCGATAATCCTGAAAACCA